GAATGGGAAGAAAAAAAAATCAAAAGATGATATTTGAGATCATATAAGTTACAGGAAATTCCAGTATTTGTGGGCAATAAGATAAGCCGTGTATTCATACAACAAGTGGCAGAACGACCATGAAACGTAGTTGCTTATGTTTAGAGACAACTAAGAAAGCACGAGAAGAATTATCCGACCTACGATTTAGAGTTAGCCGCGGTGATTCATGCACTAAAGATGTGGAGGCGCTATTTGTATGGCACTCATGTTGATATCTATACGGACCATAAGAGCCTTCAGTATATATTCAAGCAAAAGGAATTGAATTTACGCCAGAGGCGATGGTTGGAGCTACTAAAAGACTATGATGTTGATATTTTATACCATCCAGGAAAGGCGAATGTAGTAGCCGACGCCCTCAGTCGTAGATCTATGGTTAGCTTATCATATTTATAGCCAGAGAAGTGTGGGATAGCCCATGCGATTCATCAACTAGCTAGTCTTAGAGTTTGATTACTGGACTCAGGTGATACCGGAGTTACTATTCAGGACACGGCAACACCCTCTTTAGTAACTTAAGTAAAGGAATGCCAGTATGAGGATCTTGTGCTAGCTCATTACAGAGATACATCCCCTCAAAAGGAGAATACACCATTCGAGATTACAGGAGATGGAGTCCTAAGATATCGAGGTCGATTATGTGTTCTAATGTGGCAGGGTTGCGCCAGTAGGTTATGGGAGAAGCTCACTATTCTCGTTATTCTATTTATCCAGGAGTGACGAAGATGTATCATGATATGAGGGGAACATACTGGTGTGACGAAATGAAGAAGGATATAGCAGAGTTTGTTGTTCAGTGCCCTAATTGTCAGCAGGTTAATATTGAGCATCAGAAACCATGTGGATTGTTACAGGCTATAGAGATTCCGACATGGAAATGGGAAGTGATTAATATAGATTTCATCATAGGCTTACCTCGTACCCAGCGTAAGTTCGATTCTATATGGGTTATTATTGATAGACTTACAAAATCAGCCCATTTTCTGCCTGGCAGGACTACGTATTCAGCAGAGGATTAGGCAAGGATTTACATTAAAGTGATAGTACAACTTCATGGTGTTCCTATATCTATTATATCAGATAGAGGTGCTCAGTTTATAACTAATTTCTGGAGGTCCTTCCAGAAAGGATTGGGGACTCATGTGAGTCTTAGTACAATATTTCATCCCCAGACAGACGGTCAAGCTGAACGTACTATTCATGTACTGGAGGATATGATACGGGCTTATATGATGGACTCCAGGGTTAACTGGGATGATCATCTTGCACTTATTGAGTTTGCATATAATAATAGTTATCATTCTAGCATTCAGATGGCTCCATACGAAGATCTTTACGGACGGAAGTGTAGGTCACCTATCAGATGGTTCGAGGTTGGGGAAACTAAGTTAGTAGGACTAGAGTTGGTACAACAGGCAGTTGAGAATATTAAGCTTATACGGGAAAGGCTATTAGCAGCTCAGAGTCGTCAAAAGTCCTATGCAAATAATCGACAATGAGACTTGGAGTTTCAGGTAGACGACTGGGTATTCCTAAAGGTATCACCGATGAAAGGCGTTATGAGATTCGGTAAGAAAGGAAGGCTTAGCCCTCGGTACATTGGACCTTATAAGATTATACGCAGAGAAGGCCAAGTAGCATATGAGTTAGACTTGCCTTCCAAATTTGAGTATGTACATCCAGCCTTTCATGTGTCTATGCTTCGTAGGTGTATTGTAGATCCATCTAAAGTCATTCTAGTTGATAATGTTCAGGTCACAGAGCAGCTATCATATGAGGAAGCTCCCATTGATTTACTAGATAGACAAGTTTAGAGATTAAGAACTAATGATGTAGATTCGGTTAAAGTACTTTGGATTAACAATAATGTGGAGGAGATGACTTGGGAAGCTGAAAAAGAAATGAAGACTGGGTATCCTCATTTTTTTTTCACTTCCGGAGGAGGATCAGACTGAGATATCACAGCCTTTAGGTACGTATATGGTACTTGATTCTTATGTTAGTTATAGTTATTGGTCGTGTGAGGCCATTGGTCTTATTGATGATTGTGGCCCTGTGTGGATTTGTATTGTTGGGTTTGCTGTGTGGCAAGTTGGTAGTAGTACCATTACAGAGGAGACTCTGCCAAAATTTCTATAGATTTCTGAGAGTTTAACATTCGAGGACTAATGTTTCTAAGGGGGGAAGATTGTTACACCCTGTGCGTCCCAAGGTGACATAATGAATATGAGACTTGTTAATCATGATTTAAATAATTTTAAAGTCATAATATGACTATATATGATGTTTGAATAGAAAATATGAAGTTTGAGAAAAATCGGATTAAAGTTGCGGAAACACCGACTAAGGATTTGCCATGTAACAGAGCTTTTTGAGCAATATATTTCGTGTGCTATATGAGATATTTTTTGGACATATTATATATCAAATTGAAGGTATTGTAATACAATTTCCAACGCACTTAACCGTTCATTCATACGATACCCGGATAAAAAGTTATAAGCATTGGAAGAAGAGCCAATTAAAGGGTGCCAAGTATCACCTTTATTACTTTTAAAACAATTGGGATATTTGCATTCCATCTCGTCTTTTTCTCCAATTTTCTAGAGATATCGCCCAAATAACACCCCCTAACTTTACTCTTAATCTCTCTATAAGAGCTTCAGACAATATTATCATCCCGGGCACGGAATCAAGAAGCGATAACATTAAAATGATCCCTACGATGTAAGTATCGCTATATCGCCTCTCTTTTTCTTTGTGGTTTGAGTTTTGGAAGGTACTTCATAGTTAAGAAAATGTGTACTTTCTGTATTTAAGTGTTTAAATACCAAAAAAAGTTGATAAATTCATTTCCTAATAGTTATAACTCACGGGACGGTGATCGAAAGCCGTAAGTTTGAGTTATTTGACTTGTAATGGAGTGTTTTGTGGATTGTTTCGTGCCTTTGGGCTGTATATTTTTCTACTGTTTAATGGAGTTTTGGAGAATAAATGGTGTGGAGAAATACCACATAATAACGTAATGGTGGGCTGGTCGTTCATCGTTACATTATTTTAAGTTGTTTGACACTACTTTGGTTGTCGTTTTATGTATGAAGTGATTAGGGTGTGTGGGCTGTTTTGTGGTATATTATGATGGAGATAAGGTTGGAAAATTATGCTCATATGTTGTTATTGTTGTGTTCTTGTTGTTGTTGGTATATATTATTGAAGGAGGGCCTAGTTACAGGGGAGATGCTGTCCAAATTTACGTAAACGCACTACTAGTTTAAGTTGCGGACTTAGCCTTTACTCAGCACTGATTTTGAATCTCCTTATGATATGGTAGATTGAATTGAGTTGTTTGAAGAATTTCTTGGAAGATATTAAGGACTCAACGGAGTTAAGGTATGTTAAGGCTATCCCTCATTTCCTTTTGGCATGATCCGTACGATACAAACGAAACGAGCAAATACGCAACTTTCATAAATGACTCCATTCATAGAAATACTAGGGATGTCTATACTCTTGATTCCCCATGTGAATTATTATTATATCCTCTGTTCATGGGTCTCAGAAAAATATGTATTTGACAAAGTTTGTCCGAAAGGCATATTGATTTTATTACATGTACATTGACCCATGACCAGAAGGCGTTATATACGCATATATTATATGTATATGGGATATGAAAAAAGGTTAAGGCGTTATATACGCACCACCACCTGATCAGCTGGTATACGTTGATGATTTTGCCCACAGTGGCCGAGATGATATGATGGGATGCCTTTAGAGGCTTGATGATGTTATGAACGCATATACCTATGCATGATATGACATTTATACGCACATGCATGACATTATAAATTTTCATGATTCACAGAGCTATTCAGAATTTCAAGTTGAGTTCTTTACTTTATGTTTCTTTCATGTATTTTATATACTAGTGCCATGCCTTACATACTCAATACTTTATTTGTACTGAAATCCCTTTTTGCCTGGGGACGCTGTGTTTCATTCCCGCAGGTCCCGATAGACAGGTTGAGAATTCTCCTAGTAAGCTATCAGCTCAACAGAAGGTGTTTGTGCACTCCACTTGCTCTGGAGTTGCCTATTTGGTCAGTATGATTTGAATATGTATTGTTTTGGTATGGCAGGGCTCTGTCCCGACCTTTATGATATTTATGTACTCTTAGACACTTGTAGACAGATGTTCTGTATACTGATACTTGTATGACCTTATAGGCCAGTACGTCATATGTATAAGTCAGTATATCAAGTTGGGTAACCCTATATTGAGTATTTCCTTTTGTTTTATTCTACTTATCTCACGACTGCCTCTCCGGCTCAATTACCTATGATAGTATGATACGAATGATACATTATGTTGGTACTCGGTTGAGTAAGGTACCGGGTGCCCGTCGCGACCCATCGGTTTGGGTCGTGACAGGTCTGAAGTGCAACCAACGTTTTTATGTACTTAAGGCCAAATAGGCCTGAATTGCAAATTGCCCAGAAACAGAAATTTGTTTTCGAATTATAACAATCCAATATACAATTTAATACCTAAATCTACTCCAAATGAGCTCAAATTTAAAACATAACCTCTAAATATTATCGGGAACAAACCCAAATCATCAATTTGTCAAAACACCAATAAATCTAATGAATCCATTTTGCAATTACGAAAAAGAAGAAGAAGAAACCCTAAGCAATTGTAAAAAATAAAGCGTCATAACAACTCACCATTGTAAAACATCATAAACTACCTTAAAATATGTTCACAAACACCATATAAAATCACAGTCACCCGAAAAAGAAGAAGACAAACGAGGAGGAGGAGGAGGAGGAGGAGGAGGAGAAAGGGGCCTAAAGTTGTTTAAAAAGTGGGTACAAATTAAACTTTTTTTAAAAATGGGTATAGGTTAAATGTGGGCGACCAAATAGGACACACGTGCAAATTTTTTCTAGGATACTCCAACAACTGACTTGCCGCCTATATTTTCATTATACTTTATTTACTCATGACAAGTTCAGACAAATAGGAATGTTATTAGAAACAGTAAATTAGTAATCATACTCGTATGTGTAAATATTTTAAGCAGCATCAGAGTTATATATGTCATGAGAAATGTGTCGAAGCAACACGGGAATAGTAGCCTCAGGAGCGCTCAAATGCGGAAGATGACCTTCTATATTTGAGATGATCTCCACAATAGACTTGCCGCCCAGATTCCGGTGTAAATATTGGGCAACTGCCACCGGCACCGCCACGTCCATTGAACTCTGAATTATATGGCAAGGCACAGTAACACAGGACAGAAAATGCCTTAGGTCAAACGTGAAAACGGTGCGGAAAACGCTAAGTGCTATGTCAGGTCTCATGTTGAACAATGTCCTGCTGAATTCTTGTACTGCCACTGAATCCATGTCACCTCCCACCACTAATGGCGCAAACCCAGATACCCATGCCTTGTAGTTCGACTCCATTGCCTGGCATAGTTGCTCTATATCTTTCAGCTCGAATCCTCCATAATAGTCATCTGTATTTATGAACCTAACAGAAACTATGTTGGTGTAAAATTTTACAGAAAAAAAAAAGAACTTTGATTGAGTATTTTACTTTCCTTGAGGAATTGAATGGTAAAATTAGTTTACTTACAAAGTCAAAAGCGAAATTCAAGAGTCCATTAATTATCACTCAACTTTCCAAAATTATCTACAACGTTACTTAACTATGCATATATCACTCAGAAGGTCACTCAACCAGATTTATCAAACATTTGATAGCCAAATACCTATTTTACCCTTTAAATTATCAACTTTTTTTATCTTTTGCTTTTTTTTTTTTGCTTTTTTAATATTATAATTTTTTCTCTTTTTAATCAACATTTAGACTTACCTATAGAACAAAATATTTTATTTAAAAAATAAAAAAAAGATATTCTAGTATATATGATGTCAAAATAATAATATAATTAGGCATAATATTCAAGATGTAATGTATATTAAAAAAAAAAATTTATTTTAAATAATTATTTTCTACAGTACGTGCATGAAATATATATTTTAAAACATTTATTTTATTTCATTCTCTATTGTGTAAATAAATATTTGAGTTTTTTTGTTAATATCAAAATTATTATTATGAATAAATTTTTCTAATTAACTTTCTACTATGCTCAATATTTTATTATTCTAATATTATATATGCTTAAATACTATTTTAATTTTTTAAATTTATAAACAAAATTTATTTATTCTAAGGTAAGTCCATAATATAAATTAAAAGAGAAAAATATTATTATATTAAAAAGCTAAAAGAAGAAGAAGATAAAAATTGATAAATTAGAGGGTAAAATAGGTATTTGACGATCAAAAATTTGAGAACTCTAATTGAGTGGTCTTTTGAGTGCTATTGACATGGTTAAGTGATTTTGTTGTTACAAATGAAAGAAAGATGACTTTGGTAGATAATGTCGAATAGTTGAGTGATCATCTGAGTAATGGACTCCGAAATTCAAGTTGGATAAAGATTTGAATAATTGAATTTTAACACAAATCGTGATTCTTTCTAGAATAAAAAAAAAAACTAAGAAGATTAATTCAGGCACAGCGAAATACTTATATTTGTCATAGTCTTAGGTACCTGTTAAGATAATAATGTTAATAAATATAATCCTTTGGAACAAGAACTTGAAAATTATAAATTCCAAATCAAAGTCCACAATCTAAAATAAGTTTTCATTCTTCCAAAACAAAATTTAAATTAATAAATTTAATATTTAAATAAGTAAAAAATTTAATCAATTTCCTCCAAAGTTTTAATTTTTTTTCCACCTATTACCAAAAATGTTAGTACTTGGTTCTTTTTCTGGTACTCAAAGAAGACCACTCTCTTCTCAACACCTCAATCAGTTACTACAAATTAATTAAAGTAGAACTCCAAAATAACTAACCATGGGGTTTATTTCAGTCAAGGTAAATTTAATATTTGTAGGGGAAACCCGACAAGAAATGATCTCACCTTGGGGAAGCAGAAACAAGGATGAGTTTGGAGAAGAGGTCAGGACGAAATATGGAAGCAACAACACCGGTCATAGCAGATAAGGAATGTCCTAAATACATACAACAACTGATTTGAAGCTCCTCTAAAATAGCAAGTAAATCGTAGGCATAACCTTCAAGGGAAGAGTGTCGATCAAAATCGAAGTAATCAGGATTGGTCGGTCCAGCACCCATGTTGTCGTAAAGTACAACTCGATATTCATCGACGAGGTAAGGGACAAGTTGTTTCCAAACAGATTGATCAGTGCCGAAGCCATGGCCGAGGACTATGGTCTTCTCGCCTGAGCCTACAACTTTAACGTTGTGAGCTTCTTCAACTATTCCCATTTTTTGCTTCCTAATTTTCTGCTGGCGTTATGACTTTAAGGGGTGTGGTGGAAACCGGAGGAGACGACACGCCGACTTTATTGAAAACGCAATTACTTATGGTGGCCGGTGGGTTCGCTAATTCACATTCACAAATCATAACATTAATATTGCAAGAGAACTAACTAATGTGATAATTTCAATTTTTAAAAAGTCAAGTGTAGTAAAGATGTCAAACGGGCGGGGCTGATCCGGTTCCGGACCGGCCCAGACCGGTTTTAGCCGGGACCGGACCAGACCGGTAGGTAGGGGGCCGGGCAGTACTAGGTTGGGACGGGGAACGGATTGTGTCGGGTAGGATAGAGGTATCGGTACTGTCAAGTCAAGTTCGAACCGGTTCAACGGCTATAAATCAATTTGTTTTTAATATAGTTGACTGTTGGCAACGGTCAGCTGCTATTTTGCAAGAATAGCTCTTTTTGGATATTTTTTTAAAAAAAATAACACTTTGAGTATTTACTAATTTAGCCCTTTGAAAAACTATAAATATNAACTTCAAAAATCATCAAGTGATCAATTTATTGCGGAAGTCGGTGCACTCGTTCCAACTCTTTCTCTTATTTAATATTTTATTTTTATTAGCAATTAAATTTTTACAATACGTTTAATGCTACAAAAAGAGTTTGTATTAAGGTTGGTAATGGGGGAAATAGAAAAAGAGGTACTACTTCAACTTCTAGTAGTAATTTAAATGATTTTACACATGTTTTTGAAACATCACCTGATAATAATATAGATTATGAACAATTACAAGAAGATTTCGGTATAGAAGATAATGAATTAGAAATTGAAGATGAGACACCACTTACACCTAGTAGTGTTGGAGTTTGTAGCAGGGATGGTGGTCGTGACACTAGTAGTAGACCACATGTGGCCCCAACTAGTAATCGGAGAAGGAGAAGTAAAGTTTGAAAATATTTTGAGGAAATAGAGAATTCTGATAGAGTTAGATGCAAAAACTGTAAAGATGATTTTAAACATAAGACTGGAGGAAGTTTAGGAGGGACTAAGACACTTAGTAGACATATGAGAATTACTTATCCTATAGAATGGGGCCCTAATTTAGATGAAAATCAAGAAACTCTAAACCATAGTACTAGAGGACTTATGAAATATGATAAAATGAATGATCGTGAGAAGTTAGCAAAAATGATTGCTTTGGGTTGTCTACCTTTTTCTTTTGCTTCTTCATCATATCTTATTATGTATATTCAAAGGATTTATAATCCTTTATTTAAAGGTATCCCCAGAAGTACTTGTAGATCTGATATCTTTAAACTTCATGGACAATATCAGGCATACATACGTTATTTGTTTGACCACCTTCCTTATAGAGTTTATCTAACTTCTGATATTGGCCATGCTGTTAATGAAAATGATTATTTGATAATTACATGTCATTGGATGGATGATAATTATTGTATGCAAAAACGTATTATCGCTTTTAAATATGATGAAAATCAAAGTCATACTGGTATTTTTATAAGTACTGCTATTTGCGAAGTTGTTGCATTTTACGATCTTAATAAAAAAAGTATTGTGTATGTCTTTTGATAATCCTTCTAACAATAATGTCGCTATTTCAATATTAAGACTGTATTTGAAACCACCACTTGACAAAAAATTTTATGTTAGGTGTGCATGTCATGTTTATAATTTCATTGTTAAAAGTGTCCTTGATTTATTTTCGACTGAGATTACTCATGTTAGAATAGCAGTTGGTGTTATTCAAGGAAATAATAGATAATCTAGAAAAAAGGAATTTAAGACTAAGTGTACCGAATATAACCTTAACCCCAGATTCATACCAGATGAAATTATACATACTTATTTTTAAAATGTTGCTACAAATATAGATTGCCGATAACTGAAGTTGCTAATGCGCATTGTACTGATCCAAACCGTATGTTAATAACTAATACTTGGGAGGTCATTAATGATGTTTTAAATTTTTACATAAATTTTAACAGCTACTATTAAGTTTTACGAGCATATTACCCTACTGTTACTATGGCTTTAGTACATATAGCTGAAATTTTTTTTCTACTCTCTGAATTTAAGAAGAAAGAAAAATATAAGGATGTTATTGAAAAAATGCAAGCAAAATTCAAAAAATATTTCTTTCCAATTGCTCCTATTTACTTAATTGGTACTGTTTTAAATCCTTTTATTAAGATGTCTAATTGTCACCAATTAATCAATGCTTTATATACTTATATGGAGATTGGACTANCAAATATAATTGATGATGTTTCTATTAATGTAGGCAATGTTAATCTCATTGTGCATTGTACTACGTCTACTGCATCTGCTACTATAGATGAAGATGAAGGCCTTGATGGTTATAATATTTGGTCTACATTTTCTTTCACTCAAACCAGTAACAGGAATATTGATGAACTTCAATTCTACTTGCAAAAGCAAACAGAGCCTCGCACAAAGGAATTTTCACCGTTGGGATGATGGCATGAGAATGAAAAGCAATTTCCTGTTCTTTCCGCTATAGCTCGGGACGTGCTAAATATGCTAATTTCAACCGTTGCATCAGAGAGTGCATTTAGTCAAGCAAGACAACAACTAGGAGACACCCGTCACTCATTGGGAAGCAATACTTTGGAAGTTTTAGTATGCTTCAAAGATTGGATTAGATCAGAACGAAGAAATCGGGGACATGAAGATGTTGATAAACCAGAAGACGAGAAATTTGGAGACATATTAACATATGATAATCCATCTGAATTTAACACTCCAGAAGATGACCAAGAAGTTCATATTGATTATGAAGAACTTACTAAGGCAATGCAAAACCTTTGAAGTTCTTGATTTATATTTTAATTCAAATTTGAATTTACTATTTTTTCTTTAATTAGTTGTTGTAAAATGTAAACTTTAATTTGCAAGTTTGAATTAAAAAAAGAACTTGCAAATTATAAGTTAAATTTTTTTCCATCTTCATTGTATTATCTTAAATTCTTAATGAAATATTCAAATATTAGGCTTTTAAAGCCTTTAAAATTTATTCAAATACACCTTTTTATAAGATTGTTTTTATGTTTTACATTTTTACTTTATCTTAATATAAATTACGATAGTTATACAAAATACACAAAAAAAAAATGGTCCGGCCTGGCCCCTTAGGCCGGAACCGTTCCGGTTCAAATTCTCATCGGCGATGCACGAAATCGGTAAAACTGATATTTTAAAACCGATAACCGGCCCGGTACGGAGACCGGCCGGTCTCCTTTTCTAATAACCCGGCCCGGACCCTTGACACCCATAGTGTGTAGTCTATGAGTTTGAGAGGACAGTGGACATAAATGAGTATCAACGAATTACTGTTACTCCCTCCAGTCCACAATAAGTAACCAATTTATCTTTTTATTTTGGTCCAAAATAAGTGTCTATTTACATAATCAAGAATAAATTAATTTTATTTTTTCAAAATTTATCCTTATTTTACATATTTCAATGTGTCAATGTAATAATTAATTAATGTTAATTTAATAAATACATCTCTTTTTCTCTAAGAGTTCGTATTTCTTTAATGGGTGTGTCAAAGGTAAAATAGTCAATTATTGAGCTAACATCTTTCTTGCAATTGTTAATCCACTACTTAGATAATGAAGTGAGCTCACGAGTCACGAGTGATAGTAAATCTCAATGCTGCTATTCTGGTATACTGGCTAATCATAATAATATAACTAATCACGCAAAAGATCTTTATTATTGTACCCAGGCAAATTATTGATGGGGGAATTTCGAGTTCAGAACCTATTTGTGATTCTTTTGGACAAGTGTGACGGAAACGTGTGTTTAAAAAAAGAGTGACATTTTTATATATAGCGTTCTTTAAAAGAGCACTATATATATAATGCCACTGTAAATCGCACTATATGAATAGCGCGATATATAACCACGCTATACTTGTTTTGTGGGCCCACCAATAAGTCTCCTGCGTTTAACTGACATAACAATAATTCAAATGGGTATAGCGCTCTTTAAAAGAGCGCTATACTTAAAAAATATTCAGCCCACCGAGCTAGGCATTGCCTAATTTAAAGGCGTTAGGATTTTACAAAAATTCATTCAAAAATATTCCTAACTCTCGTTCAAATTTTTCTTCTTGTTAAATTCTCAAGTATTTTTTCATAATGTCTCAAGAGAGAAAAGTAAGGGTTTCATTACATTGGGGGGATGAGGTTGTGGTGGCGAATAACTCTGTGAGCTATAGTTTATCTCCACAGTGTCATGTTAAATTGTCACTTATAATGGAGTACGATAGATTGGTATCGTTGTTATGTAATAAAATAAGTGTGAGGAAACGTTCGGTGAACCTTAAAGTAACTGAAAGATATCCGTATTCCGTCACTCTGCAAGGGGTTGCTTGTTACGCTGAGTTTAACATCGACGATGATGAAACTTTGAGGGATTTTTTGAGAACTCCGGATGAATACCAGGAATTTTTTGTGATAAAAATGTTGGAAATGTACGTCAAGGTCGAAGACGTTCGCAATAATGAGGTTACACATAGTAGGGATAACCCTCAGTCATTAGGTGGTTATTCTGGAGCAGTTTTTGCCGGACAGGTTCCGGATGAAAGAGTTTGCCCTGATTTAAACTTATCACCACGGGCGAATGAGGAGCGAGGAAATAATTTCTCTCCTGCTTTACATAATCTACAAGACGAGTGGTAAACTTCAATTTTCCTTAGTGTTACGATGTATATTTTTGTTGTATTGAATTTGTATTAATACTCATATATTCTACAGGGGGTACCGGCCAGATATGACTTTTACAAGTTATGAACCCACGCCCAGTTGGAATATGCGTAGTTCTGGTGTGTTGGATCATGGTGGTCTATCCGGGAGTCATCACCAATAGGATAATATCTATCAAGGAATGTCAACACGTTACGACTTATAAGTGAAGTGATCCATCTATATGGAAAGTATTTATTAATTTCAGTAACTTATTATTTTATTGTTTGTGCAGTGAAAACGAGCAAGTTGAACCACCTGTCCTCACTCAATTGCCTGAAGACGACATATTAAATCGGGATCTGGCAGATGCACAGAGTGAGGAAGAGAACAGTAAATATGACAACAATGC